GGGCTGCTTTCAATAACCTTTTATCATGCAGTTATCAATAACTTCTTCGATCATTTCAATAACCATCTTTTATCATGCGATGGATGGAGGGCGCTGCCTGGACCCCTGAAAACTGGCATTGCAGCCTTTTCCATGCTGCTTGTGGCAGTTTCCCAGGCTAATTGCACATTAGCCTGGCCCCATCCCCTGTTGCTCTCTGCCCCCACACAGCAATGGCTGCAGAAACCATGGAACACTCTTTAAGAGTGAGTGGGGAGTTGTCACACTAATGCCTTTTGCCCCCTGGGTAGCTCTGGCACCAAACCAAGGGCTGTTTCAAGGCAGGACTGCAAGCAGAGCTTACCAGTTGTTCAAGTGTTCTCTCTTGATATGAATTAAAAGAATTTAAATTCTTGGTGGATTATAGGTTGTAGTCATGACAACGAATTTCCTCCCTTTCTCTTTTTTTCTGGAATTGTCTTGTAGTTCAGATAGGTTGCCAAACAAAACCACTCTTTAAAAAAAACACAACAACAAACAACAACTAATGTTTCAGGTAACAACAGCATTAAATTGAAAAGCAAAATAAATAATCATCCATGTTTTGATGACTGTATATGTTTTATGCACGTTGTATTCTTGTGAAACTGAAAATGTCTTTGACTGCAAATCAATAAGGCTTTCGTTCAGTGGTATTAGAGGGAATTTTGCTAGCCTAAAAGAAGTGGGGATAATTACAAACAGGAGTTTTTGTGCAGTGTATACCTGTAATAGTTAAAGGGAAAGCTGCTTAAATTCATTCTGACAATTGCAGATACAGCACTGGAGGAATCATTTGAATTATTCATTCTGCAACAAGAAAACATCCCACTTGTCTTCTCTTTAGAGATGAAAACCCAGTCTGATTTAAAATGTATTTTTATGGGTTGGTATGTTTTTTAAAAGTAATTTTGCTGTTGCAAGACTTCTATTATAATTACCTGTGAATGTAGGTTTTTAAAGAAAATTATTCTGATTTTAAAAGAAAAGAGAAATTGATTTTTACATGAACTGCTTCTTGTAGAATAAGTTTAATGAAATTCAGCTTTCTTTCATAAATAATGCAGCACTTGCATTTGATTAGGTGAAGCCTAGAGGAGTTTCTACCTAATCAGATGCATAGCAAGAAGGATATTGCCTGCAGACTGTTACCATTGTCAGTGGTGGTGGCAAGGAAAGTACAGCTCCGTGTGTGTCCAGACAGAAAGCTTTGTTTCTTAAGAGAAGCTACAGAACAAGGTATATGTGTTCCGAAAACTGATTCCTTGCGTCTCCGTGTGTCCTGGCTATGTGTAAAACAAGGTCTGGGTTCTGAGTATTATCATTATTATGGCATGAAGAGACTCCAGGTTAACTGGAGATCTCCTTCTCCTGGTAACGTGTTTTTGACCCTTCCAAGAAATAAATTCTTGTATATGTTTGCATCTGAGAGCTTGCTGTCAAATTAAGCTAAGTAGACATTGAGGATCATTGAGACCATTTCCAAAATCTTGAAAAACAGCACAAACCTTCCAATAACATAAAAATGGAAAAAGAAAAAGAGAAAAAGGTACTTTTTCCTCCCTTCTTTAAATCAATAGTTCAAATACAGCAAAAAGCAAGCCCATTTGCAAAGGGTGTATCTGCAAGTTTTGCAGAAACATTTTGAGAGTTCTTGAGTAAATATTGCTTTAATTATTTACCTGTGGTTAAGTTTTATGCTGTTCTTGAATCCAGCCACAAGACTTTGTTCTACTCTGTATTTATCCCCAGGAAGCTGTTACTAACAGTAGTGGGTGTGCATGAACAGGAGGCAGTTTGAATAAGGCTGTCAATCCTTTAGTCAATGTCCATATTAGTAAATAAAGCATCTGGTCCCCATTCTCTAGCCCTGAGGCCAACTGGCAGCAGTTGACCTGCAAATATTCAGTAAGTGTTTGTATCCTTTGAGAGACATTGGCCAAGCCCAGGGTAGCTTTTGAGACCTGACCCTTGTTTGAGCTCAGCCCCGGACAAGTCCTGGGAACTATTTCAGGGTGTTGTAAAAAGTTTAGGGATCCTGTTAACAGTGTAACATGTGGATGGTCATGGGCTCAGGCTCTGGCTCTGGTTACTTCATTAGAGGTGATGCTCTCATAAGCCTTGGTTATACTCTGGGCTGATCATATCTTGCTCTACCACCACAGTGAAGTAATATTCCAAATTAAGGCTTAAAGAATGAAAACCCTAATGACAAAGCCCAACACCACTCTTGTATCCCACTGGGCTCCAATTTTTCTCTTTATGTTTGTTGAGATACGTAAAACTGCAAATGTCGGAAGTTCGTCGGGCGAGATGCAAAGCAGGTTTAAGCTGACAATTTGTGCTGGCTAAGGTTCTGCTTTTTCACTTGCATTTCTTGCAAAGGGCAATGAGATGTAATGAATACACATAAAACACAAGAAATAGAGCCCGGCGTACATGGGAGATGTTCTTCCATACTGTGATTTGCTGTTGAGTGATTTTAGTGCTGAGCTCAGAAGTGTATTTATGGAGCTGCTGGTCAGAACTGCAATTTAAAGGTGAAATCAGTTCTCTTTTTTAATCTTGAGCTTTCATTCCTCTCCAAAGTGGTGCAAGCAAATCTCCTGGGCCTAAAATGTCGTGGGGGCACTAGAGGCCAAGAACAGAATTAATTTTTGAAAGTTTGAGAGCAGAACCATCAGGTTTAGGGCTGTAAAATGTTAATTTGGTTCTGACTTTCCCAAGAATTGTCTGAAATACTTTTGCCCACTCTTAAGTCAAGTGACTTCATGTCAGATATTGAAGCTGTTTTTAAGTGTGAGTACTGACAGAAGTAGTGCATTGCTTTTATCACAGCCAACTGGAAAAAAACCCCTCAAAAATACAACCTTTTTTTGGGTCCAAAACAATGCCAGAATCCCACGGAAGAAATGGGGAACAAGGCTGAACCCTCAGTCATTTGTCCTAAGGTAGACAGGACATTCTCCCAGTCTGTTTCAGCTGGGAAGACCTAGTCTTGATGACAGGTCGATTTTAGGGCCAAGGCCAAGACTCACCACTATACCATCATCAGTATCTTGTCCTTTGCTGATGCTTCTTCAAGCACAGGCAGCTTCTCACATCCCAAAATGTGCAGGCTCGCTGGGTAGCTTTAGTGATGGAAAGTGATGCTGTTTCTGTGCCAACTGCAGCCTAGGTTTGGATTTCCTACTCTTTGCTCCTCTGTGACAAGATAAATTAGGCAACTCTTAAAAAATCACTTGAGCAGCAAATGCAGGTAGTGTGGGTAGAGACCCTGGGCAATGCACCTAAGGACAAACCTCAGGAGGGCAGGACAGGTTGTTTTTCTGTACAGGAGGGATGTTGACAGAGTCTGCAATCCTTAGTTAATATGACTGGTGGTTGCTACATTCACCTTTTGTCATTATCATAGGCTGAGTTTAAGAAACGTAAGTGGCTGCATCCTTGAATGATCTCTCCTTGACCATGTGGCTTTGCAGTCCTAGTCCACTAGGCTTGGTGTTAGGTGGAAAAAGGACTTCTTTGCAGTGGAGCAAAAATGTGACTGATACAAGTGTTGCAGCAGTGTATAAAGTGCTGAATTATTCATAGTACTTAAACACAGAAAATTGCAAGGCTGAGCTGACATAATGAAAAACTCCAGACAAAAAAAAAATCCACCGTGGAAAGTCTTAGATTAAAAACAGTTGTAAAATTTAGAGTCAGACTGTATTATAGACTCTTAATCCCTTCTTCTACCTTTAAATGCCCCTTCTCATGCTGCACTCTGGGCTATAATAGCTAGCTACTTTTAATATAATTATCCACATAATTTTCCTATGAAAAGGGGCCTAAGGCAAAGAAATGTCAGATGACTTGTCCTGCTCTGAAGTAGAAAATCTGAAGTGATAGCAGGACTTACAACTAGACCTTCTCAAACTGAAGCCTTGACCATCTTAACCTGCTTACCTGGAGGAATTCAGTGGGCAAACACCTGTGCACTGTTTCATAACAGAGCATCAGACCTTCTCATACAGCTGGTCACACAGCTGGTCTTCCAGCTTCTCATGGACTTCTGTGAGCTACTACCATAGAGTTATTTTTTTATCATTATGAAGCCCAGTTTTCACCCATCTATGACACAAAAGGTCCTGGGTGCTAAATCTTACCCTGGATCACTTTCACCTCTGGAATTTTCTGGTGAAAGACCTACAAACCAAAATATTAATGTAGGAGCACAACTTTTGGAATTTAAGCAGCTGAATGGACCATTACATGCTTCTTAATTCATGGAGAATTTTAACAGATGCACTGTGCCCAATATGTAGCGTTGCAACCAAAACAGGTAGATGTATAGAGCAGATCAGTTAAAAGGAGAACTGACCCAAGCAATTAAAAAAAAAAAGCAACTAGAAGCTTTGGGAATTCATAGTGTTAGGCAGTCTGTTTCTGGATTTTTTTAATGAATTTGCTTGATCCTGAAAGCATTGTTTTAACAGCTGATCTCAAGTTTCCTTTTACACTTTATTACTACTTCTGTTGTGGAAAACTGGTTAAAAAAAAACAACAACCAAATAAAACAGGTCAATTTAAACAGTATTGTGCTGGTTTCTGTATATGTCAGAACATATTTGCATTGGCAAGATATTTTTGACAAAGCAGTTCTTGCTTGTTTGAAAAACATTTTTAATAAAGATGTTCAAGCTGCTTTAGTCACTTTGTCTTTTGGCTGGAGGGTAAAATAGGCTTTCAGAGCTGTTCAGTGTTCCCTTTTGCCCTGGAGGCATACAGGAACTGTAAGAGAAGATCTGATTTGCAATCTCCTTGGAAGTTGAAGAAGTTCCTCAGGATGCCATCAGGACCTGCAACAAATGAAGGGCAAACAGTGTTTCCTACCTGACATCCTTGGCTTTATGGAGTGCTGAAGAGTGGTGGTGGCAGCATTAGTGACCTCTGCTTTATTTGTGAGTGCCTGTAACTTGATCTTTCATTTTTCCTAGACTGTACCCTCGTCATGCAAGTGCTCTCAACAACTTGGGGACGTTGACCAAAGACGTGGTGGAGGCCAAGGACTACTACAGACGAGCCCTTCAGTTAAACCCTCAGCACAATCGAGCTCTCTTCAATCTTGGCAACCTGCTCAAGTAAGTTGAAAGCAAAACTGGCACCAAGGAAATTCATATGGTCTCTACACACATCACCAAAGTGGTTTTTTTCTGCCAGCTGGTGAAGGAATGACATTATTTCTTACTGCCTTTTTTTTCTGGTGAAGGAATGACATTATTTCTTACTGCCAGCCAAGAGTGCCAGTGCAAAGGTGTGGGGCTTTGTTTGGATATCCTGATGCTGTCTGCCACAACACTTCAGGTGCTGTTTACAGTTGTGTTTCAGCTGAAGGGAATTCACTTGTTCCAAATCAGGCATCAAAAAATGAGGTGCCTAAACCCAACTAGTCACCTGAGACTCCCATCTTAATGGAGAGGTGTAAGCCTTTCCAGTGGAACAAGCCATGCTGTTCAAAGAAAGGCATCTGATACAGATAATATTAAGAACTAACACTGATCCAACAAATCCCTCTCTGCAAGTTCCCACTTCTCATTACATGTATGGAAGGTTGATAGATAGTTTAGGGATGAGCATCTAAGATGCTCAGAGCAACAGAAGGTTCATCCCTTTGCAGAATGGGTATGTCTGGATTTGAAGGGAAAGCTGGCTGAGTGAGAAAACAAGTTAATTAGCTCATATTTTCACTCATTTTTATTTAGAGTGTCAGCTTTTAGCAAGGAGAATAGCAGACAATCATAATAATGCAAATTAATTTGACTAACCATATCTAAAGACTGAATTTAAATCTACATAAGAAGCTTTGCCAGTATGAGAAGATCTGCTAAGGGTGCAATTAAAGAAATGGATATCTATTCCTGCATTGCTATTTTGCACCAGCAAAAGAACCCTTGGTTTTGTGAGAGTAGTGTTTTCTTTGCTGGCATAACTGCATAAAATACAGCAATAAAAGTACATTTTTTCTGATATTAACTCCACCTATTTTGCTGGTAATAGGTCTCTGGTAAATCTTTTAATGCAGATCAGGATTTAGTGTTGGGCTGGTTTTAAAGTGGCACTGTCTCATCAAAACATACTTGATCTCTCTGGTTCTCAAATGTTACTTTGAGTGTGAGCTCATGGGACAGATGCTAAGTGTATTGCTGAAGTTCTGCCTGGCCCATTTTGTTATTTTAGAATAACATTACAAGTGAACCTCGTGGTTTGGGGATAGAGTATGGCAGCTGAGTAATTCTTAAATATAAAGTAGGTGACTGGGAATACAAGAAAGGAAAATGGTAAAAACAGTCTCATGACAAAAGAAATTGAAGGTTTTTGTAATATTAATCAAATTTGTTTGACAGAAATTAATCTTGGGTAGTGATGGTGTTTAAAAATACATGTTGTCCTTTTCATATGTTTGCCTTAGTCATTATTCTATGTTGTCATTTTAAAAGATAAAATATTTGTTGTTTATTTTTAAAATATTAAGTATTAATACAAAAGGATGTGAGCCAGAATGTCAGGACATCCCCATGTCAATAAAACTTTAATTTGGCCTGTTGATGGGCTCTTACAATCCAGCAGATGGGTAGAAAGTGTATTTGTTGCACTGGCAAAGCACAAAGATGACATGTGGGAAAATCTCTCAGAACTGCTGTTTGTTTTGTGTGCAATATGTCATGTTTTTCCTGATGTGATAGTTAAGATATTGTGTGTCCTTTTGGACTCTTATGTGCTCTGCATCCTTCTGTGAAACATCTATTGCTATGTGTTGAAGGTGTGTAAGGCTTGTGCTAGACTCATTGAAAGACAACGCTCAGGTTCTGTTTGCCCTTCTCCCACATCCATGTGCTCCCATTTTCTAGACTCCTTTGGAGGCTTCAAAAACAGCCTAGTGCATCTGGACACATCAGTAGTATTAATTATAATGGAAACTGGGTGTCCTCATCTTTCTTTTCAGCTTTAATTTTTTTCCCCTTAACTCTATCCCAGACCCCTTTGCCAGGACTTCTCCTGGATCATCCATCAATTTAGCAGAGATTATCAGTTGTGCTGGAGCATGAGGTGACTTGTGTGGTGACCACATGAGAAAGAGGCAGAGATTTCAAAGGACAAGAAGGGTTCTTCACTGATTAAGGTCCCGGGCAAAACAGACTGAACTTGGGGAAAAAATAATAACTTAATTTCACACTAACCAAACACACACAGGACACAGACAACACAAAGAGCAGGGCTTGCATATGTTACCCCACCCCTCCCTTCTTCACGGGCCCAAATCCCTTTGTTCCCGGTTTCTCTCCCTCCTTCCCTCCAGCAGCACAGGGGGACAGGGGTTGGGGTGTAGAGTCTGTTCATGGGCTGGTGGTTCCTGCTGCTCCTTCCTCCTCAGGAAGAAGGATTCCTTACAGTCCTGCCCTGCTTTCCCGTGGGGTCCCTCCCATGGGAGAAAGTCCTCCATGAACCTCTCCTTCATGAGTCCTTCCCACCAGGTCTGGAGCTGCTCCAGCCTGGGCTTCCCACAGAGTCACGGGGGGCTTCGGGAACAGCCACCTCCCCTGGCCTGGGGGCTTCCACAGCTGAGCAATCAGACTGCCATCTCACCATGGGTTGCAGGGAAACACCTGCTTGTGCACCTTCTTCCTCTTCTTCCTCACCAACCACCAGCACCGCTCTCCCTCCCCAGCACTGCTGTCATCCTCCAGCACAGCCCTTCTGCCCCAAGTCCTTCTCTGCTCTGGTGTTATTGCAATTCTTTCGTATGTTAGTCACTGAGGCCCATCTATTGTCCCTCTAATGGCTCCTTGGCTGGATTTGGAGCAGGGGGAGCTTCTCAGCTTCTTACTGGAGCCATTCCTGGTGCCCTTCCCCCACTACCAAAAAATCTACCAAACCAAACCAGAACATGCAGACACTAAATGCTAATATAATATAAGTAATAAATGAAAATCTGCAGAACATTACATCCAGATATTACTTTCTGGCTGTGCTATGAGACACTATGAAGAGTGTTTTGTTTTTTAAATGTATGGCAGAGAGACAATAAGTGGTCAAGGCATAAAAGCATTTTCTGTCCTCTTTGGAGAGGCATCAGTACGTGGTGCAGATCAGGAAGAGCCAGATCTGCAACACTTGAGGCATGTCCAGTAACAGTACTACTTGTGCCTAGACACGTAATGAAACTGTCTGGCATGGGGAATTCCCAGTTGAATTCTGCTGAGTTCTGCATACCCACCCCTGCTTGAAGCATGGAAATCTGATGGTGGATATTAGTTTTCACCTCCTCTGCAGTGCTGAGAAACTGAGGAACTCCCGAGATTTTGGAAGGACGGTTTTGCTGTTCCCATGTGGGAATCTGCTTCTCAGCATTCCCTGTAAATATGCTCTCTATTTAAGCAACTATTGCTTGTGATTTAAGCTCGAGTAAAAATCTATTTTGAGGACCACAGGGTGGAATTTTAAAGTTTTTCTGCTGTGGAAGTCCTAGATGAAAAAGGATGTTTCCGTTTTCTGTTTGCATATAATGAAGACAGCTATCTGCAAGAAGATGAATGTTCTCAGGAAGAATTGCAGGGTAATGGCTCGATAAGCCTCTGGTTTTGTTTACATATCCTAATATAAAGTTGTATGTCATAATTTTCTTGCCTAATATAAATATTGAAGAGTAGATAATTAAGCAATGCCAACAGATGTCTTAGTTAATATAAACTCAAAAGATGGCCTACCTAAAGTGAGAAATCTCTTTCTCTGCTTCTGTGGTCTGTGATCAGTGACACAGAGCAGCCTGATGCTGCTTTCTTGTGTTTTGTTTTGAAGTTTCCCATTATATAAATATTTAACTTTTCTATATAAATTCAGCTTTGTTGAGATACAGCTTGAAAAACTGAGATAAATACTCAGAATACCTCAGAAATTTATAGCCTGTGGGATATTCTGTAAAGCAACAAGAAAAAAAAATTATGAGCATTTAAAGTAAATATTTATCTCGGTTTTCTGTTGCAAGAAGAATGGGAGACTCTCATTTGCTTTACTGTATCTATCCATACCTAAAGCACTCTGGTATTCAGTACACTATTTCTTATGAAGAAAAGCCTCGTAACTCCTACATGCTTTGAGAGTGTTACGGCTGCATTTTCCATTTTCCAGGGGAAAGTGAAATGCCTAGAAACGATGTCCACTGAAATCCTGAGTTTATTCAAAAGACTGGTTCTCTTCTGAATACAGAGTAACACAAAAGCTGTCTTGTGCATTTCTTGCTGTGATTTAGTCCCAAGTTTAGAAAGCACATCTGTTCAGAAGAAGGACTCTTATCCCTCTCCCATACAGGCTTCTGGATATGTATGTATGAGAATGTGCTGACACAGGCTTGTGTAACTGTCTGAAGGTGCTGAAAAACATCAGGTAGATATTACGTGTATTGAGATCTAAGATCTTTCAGAGAGTGAAACCTTCCTCCCTTTCATTTAAAGAAGCAAGATGAATGATAATGTTCAGTGATACTGCATCTGGCTTTCTGGATGGTCTCTGGTTAGGATACTCTGCGTTGCATGAGGTGCTGTAGTTATCCATCAGTATCACATACACCTTGTAGCCTGCTTATTGAAAAAAAGCAAACTCTGCCAGTGACAAATTTACAGTAGATGAAAAAAATAATTTAGGTTGGAGTGGACCTCTAAAGAGCCTTTGGTCAAGCCCACAGCTCAGAGCAACTCTAATTGGATTAGGTTGCTCAGAGCTGTGTCCAGCTGTATCTTGAACACCTCCAAAGACAGATGCCATAGTACTAGCAGCCTGCACACAGCCCCATGGGTCCACCAGAGTTCTGTTGGGTGCTTTAAGCTGGTGCATCTCCAACTCCAGGGCACTTGCAAAAATATGGAAGAGATGCTTCCAGTGGAAGGAGCTGTTCCTTGTTCTTGGCTTAAGCATGCTGATTGTAGCAGGGAGGCTGGGAACTCGAGTGCAAGTGGGTGTCAGGAGAGATCAAGACAAGATAATTTGGGGAAAAACTGGATTAAGTGATCATAGACTCCTCGTGCCAGCTGAATTTGTTCTTCTTTCTGTCATAGCCAAGGTATACATTTCCTGGCTTTTCTTGCTGCAGATCTCCAGTTTAGGGCAAATTAGTGAATCAGACTGTTCTTCTAGTGCTCTGTGCTCTCCCAAATTACAGGGGATTTATATAAGCAACAGCCTCAATCCTGGAAAGTGTTGGCCTTGATCCAGGAAAGCACTTCAGCCAGTAATTAATTTTCAACTTGCATACATAAAAGTTAAGTACGCGTTTAAGTGCTTGGCCAGAGTGCTTGGTATCTCACAGCCTAAGCTCTCTGAGAAACTACTGGATCTGCTGTTTTTTAATGTAATTCAGTCTGTCACATAAAAAGATGCCATAATCTTTCCCACTCTACCCCTGCTTTCAGGAGACAAACATTGTTCTTGGATCAATCAGAAAATAAAAGGCCATTTTGAAAAAAAGAGTAATTAAGGCTACCCCATGTTCAGAGTGCATGTTTGTGGTTAATGGGAACTTTTACTGCTGCTGAGTGGATCACTTACTCCTTTTATTTCTGTAGCTGGCATTTCCTACATTTTTTTGCCAAATGTCAATACCTTTACAAAGCAGTCATCTGTTTTTGATTTATAAAAATGTATCATGAAACTCCAGCCAAGAGATCCAAAAGTTTTATACATTGACAAGCTAGCTAGTCTTTAATTAGTGTAGGAGAAAAGTGGTTCTTTATTTGTTTTTGCTTCATTCATGTAATTTATGTGGAACACCACTGAAAGAAGGAAAAGACTAGCACAACTGGTTTTACTTATCTTAATGCACAGGCAAAATACTCTTCCAGTTACACAACTAGAAAGGGAAAAATTCTGCAAAGCCACATATATTATCAGCTGAAATTTCCACCTTATAAACAGGATCTAGTTACTTGACCATGTCACTTTGATGAAATCTAAGCCAGAGCAGCAAGGTGTTCACATATTTTCTGTGTACCAGAGCCCATTGTTTCTTTTTGTATGCCTTGCTATCTATGTTCTTTGTACACCCAACACAAGGAAAATGTTGTTCCAGTCCAGCTAAACATCCTTAGTTCATGAAACCTTCTCATTTTTCCAAGGAAAGAAATACAGAGTGATACTGGAGAAATTGTAGCTCAAATAATATCTTTAGATTTTTGTTCAGGAAACCTTTTCTGCTTTCCATGGCAATCAATTCAGAACAATGCTGGAAAAAAAACCACCCTGGCTCATCAACATAACCACCTCTCAACTATCTCTGTTCACAATCCTTAGGATCTGAAGAACAGACTTCTGTAGCCTAATGATTGACTTGCTAAGGAATTATTTCAAGATCCCAGGCAGATTTAACTTAGAAATACTTTAATTTCAAAGTATTAATTTAACTAAGTTATCAGTGGGTCTATAACACCACTTGTTGTCTAGGAGCATACAAAGATTTTGCTGTTTTTTTAAGGGAATGGAAATGTTCTTGTGTCTTCAGCCTACTGATGTGAGAGGAGGGTTGGTGAGAGCAAATGTCCTGTTTCCAAGTCAGTCAGTGCCTCAGTGACGTATCTGGAGCCAGACCTCCAGAAGCTGACTGCAAACCTGGTCAAATGCTCTGACAGCATCCCTTGCCATAGGGCATGTGGCTTTCCAGAGACATCGCTGGGAGGTTCTTGTGCAGGACTTAATGCCTGGGGACACTTTTGCCATCTTGTTCTTCATGTGTCTTTAACTCCTGATGAGATAAATGGGGCCAAATTTGATGTATTTGCGATAAAGAGAAATATTGAGAGGAAAGGTAGAGTAGGACTGAAGAAGTTTACAAAATCTATGGATTATGACTCGACAGACAGAGACTGTGGCCTGTAGTGCTTGCCTGATAGCCAGAATGAAATACTTGATGCTCTTCAGTGTGTGGGATTGAGAAATGGGGGTGGGATTGAGTTTTGGGGGTGTTTTTTCTTCACTGGGGTCATTGCATAGAGCTCAGTGCGGCAGTCACCAGAACAGCAGAATGGCAGTTTTCGCTAAAGCCTGTGTCCTCCCAGCTCCTGAGAATAACATATGGAAGCAGTGATGGGCTGAGGAGGAGCTGGGTACCCACACTGTGGAGAGGACAGGGAAGTGAATCATTTTGTCTTTGTTGAAAAGATCAAGCCGGGGACTTTCATGTCTCTTTAAAATAGTTGATCAGCCCGATGACCTAAGCATGCGCTTATAGGAACGTTCCTTTCCATTTTTCCCTCCTTCCTTGTCCTGCAGGTCCCAAGGGAAGAAGGAAGAAGCTGTCATCTTACTGCGGGACTCCATTAAGTATGGCCCAGAGTTTGCAGATGCTTACTCAAGCCTGGCCTCGCTGCTGGCTGAGCAGGTACTGGACAATGCTCAAGCTCCTGTGCCTTCTGCTCCCGCATGTGCGCTGCTGCCGCAGCACCCCATGTGCATCCTGGTGGAGCACCCTGGCCTTGCACATGGGTGCTGGCAGGTGTGGGTCTGTGGCTGCCTGCAGAGAGCTCTCAGGCTGCTTTAGAGATGGCTTTTTCAGGATAGGAGGCAACTCGTTCGCAGTGAGTAATTCCACCCACATGATGTGGCTCTGAACCGAATCGCTGTTGAAGTGGTGAGTAACTACCTGCTCCTCAGCTCCCCCCCCATGGCCAAGTCATAATCCATTGCACCTTGAATGTTGTGACAGTGGAACAGGTGAGCACTTCCCCCTCAGACACACACACCTATGGAGATAACCTTGAGATTTCTTAATAAATCACTCCAAAGACAGGAAATGTCAGAAATCAGATGGCCTCTGCAGCCCAAATTCTGCCCCTCACATGCACACATTAGAATATGGCCCCTAATTGTCACAGTAGATGGTCACGTACAGGGGTGGGAAGGCTGGCTAGCTTTGTATTACACTTAATGAGCAGCTGTTTGATATTTTATTTATCCTCATTGTTCAATATGTGCCCCCAGGCCTTACATGCTGCATATGGCCCAGGCTGTGCTCTGGAGGAAGGATTACTCATTTCCTCTCAGGCTGTTCCCCATGCTCATTGCCTGGGGCTCTCTCTACTCTATAGTTCAGTAGTTTTATTTCTGCAAGGTCCCTGGGAGGTGAAATATTGTCCCTACAGATGAAAGGGAAAATTGAGGCACAAAATGCTTGATTCCAGAAGCAGCCACGAGGCGTGGGTGGGTGCCCATGTCGAGACCACCAAGTCCTGCTTTTCTCCATGCCTGCAGCAGCAGATAAGGGATGCTGTACTTTCAGCATTGCTCCCACAGACTGCCCCAAGCAGTGGCCCCCCTCTGGGGTGGGTGACAAGGTCCTCATAAACTGCCCAGCTCCTGCACACCTCTGCAAACCTTTTGAAAACTGATGTTTTGTTGTGTTTTTTTTTTACTCCCTCGAGTTTCAAATTGAACTGGTCCATAGCATGGGGTGCTAAAGCTTTCTTAAAAGGTTGCTAAATGCAAATACAGACAAAACCAAAGTGTATACTCTTTCACTCTTTTCCAGTAATCTGGTTAGTAAAATCTCTCTGTAACAGAACTGGTTATTTTTTAGAAAAACTATAAGCCAGAGTTCTTGTTCTGGTTTATGCTTCTTTAATGTGGTAGGCACTCTGCAAAACATCCATGATACATGTGAATTACTGAAAGATGTGCTATTTTATTTTCCCTTTTAAGAAACTTTCAAATATTTGAATATTAGCGATATCAGCTGCAGGGACCTAGAAATGTAGTGTATGAATTGAAAGAAGAGCCTTATTGAATGGGAACTGTGTTTTGAATAAACCCATCAACAAAGACTGTCCTGCAGGTATAGGAAATGAGTCTTCCATAGTAATACCTGGTTTTAATATTAGTTGAAATTTTTAATTAGAACTATTGATTGTAAGGTCAACAGAGCAATAAAACCATTTTACAGTCCCGAGGCCCAAAGCAAATGCCATTAGTAAGTCCAGCTATAATTCATCTGTTCTTACCTATAGATTGTTCATCCTCATGTGACTTGATGAAGTGGTAGGGAAAAAAAGGTAGTACAGTTTTCTTAGAAAACAGCAATTTCCCACAGGCTTTTAATACCTCAGGCTCAGCCACAGCAGATGACTACCTGACTGTGCAGCTCCTGCCTCACACACTCATACTAGTGACCACAGAAGGGGGCTGCCCTACAAACATGTGCTGCTGCCTGGGGCTGCAGAATCACACCCTGACGCTGTGCCCTTCCTAGACAGCTACAGGCAGAAGTTTGGGCATCTTCAGCCCAAAGGATGACAATGGGAACCCATTTTTCTCTTCTGGGTTTTTCTCTTTGTCCAAGTAACAGTGTCCAAAATTGGTAAAAGTTACAAACCTGTTCTTCTGTCTACTTGTGGCCCAGAGTCAGTTGCACAGCTGTGAGGGTATCTGTGATGCCAGGCAGTGTGCAGGAGGTTGCAGGGACAGCATCACTGTGGAGCTTTGGGGAAAGGAGCACAAATTGGTTCCCTTTTGCTGGGATGTGATCAAAAGGGGCTGAAGTGCCAAAAGTAGCACCTTGAAATAACTTGCATGAGGTAACTCTGGCCATGATTAACTGCTGCTCCTCCAGCTTTGTACTGAGGCTGAAAAGGGAGGAAGTAGGTGGGCATGGCTCAGTGAAATACTGCTGGGATTGCTTTGGTCAGTTCTGTGCAACATGTTCCCCCCTATCCAGAGGATGATGATGAAGATGATGAGAGGGCTGGAACACCTCTCCTTTGAGGACAGGCTGAGAGAGCTGGGGTTGTTCAGTCTGGAGAAGAGAAGATTCCAAGAAGACCTTATAGTGGCCTTCCAGTACCTGAAGGGGCTGCAGGAAAGCTGGGGAGAGACTTTTTACATGGGCATGAAATGACAGGAGGAAGGGTAATGGTTTTAAGCTGGAAGAGAGGAGGTACAGGATAGACATTAGGAAGAAATTCTTTACTGTGAGGGTGGTGAGACACTGGAACAGGTTACCCAGGGAAGTTGTGGAAACCCCATCCCTGGAAGTGTTTGAGGCCAGGTTGGATGGGGCTCAGAGCAACCTGGTCTAGTGGGAGGTGTCCTTGCCCATGCAGGGGGGTTGGAACTAGATGACCTTTAAGGTTCCTTCCAAATCAAGCCATTCTATGATTCTGTGATCTTAAAGGAAATGAATCCAAAATAGGGCTTACAGGTCCTTTCCTCCTACAGCTGTTGAAAATGCTCCTAAGAGGAATGTCTCATGGACCAAGGAATTAGCCTCTAACTCGATCTAATTGCCCTTTTCTCTCCTTAATAGTTGACTCTGAAGCCAGAGCTGATGTAGAAAAAAACCACTGCCTCATTGTATAGAACAGTTTGGCTTGTTTGTGTCTTTTATAAATGCTTGCCCTTCTTACTGCTCTTTCTGCTTGGTATCATAAGTGTTGCAGTGTATTGTTGTTTTCCTTGTTTTCTGTGATCACTGCAGTGGTGCTAATATCAGAAATCAAACATTTTTGTCCAGTGTTTTCACAATGCTCCTGTAATTCTGGCTCCCCAGGTTTTACTCTGGTGCCCTTTAACAGCACCTTCTTCCCAGCACTTGCAGTTTCATTAGTCGTCTTGTGCTGCTTGAGGGCTCTTTTCAGGCCCTAGTTTCTGGATTAAAGTCATGGTGTGTGTGTAAAAGTATCAGCCTACACTAAGAAAAAGAAAATTCTTTAACCCACTTATCTACAGAGGAGAGAATACTAAGGCATAACCAGACTGAAAAACTGAGCCATAAAAATATCCCAGATTGAAAAACCCTGGAGTTCAACTAAGAGATCCTCGTTTGTATAATTTTTTAAGTATCATAAAAATCTCATACATTTTTTAGGCCAATCTTCTGAATTTTGTGAGTATGATGTTTCATGGAGGTCTGGGAGTGGCATTATTAAGTGTAAATGAGAATCAAGCCTTGATGGACTTCCAGCATTTCTCCCAAGAAAAGGGGAAACTGTAGAGAAAAAGCCCTGGCACAAAAAGCTGATCCCACCCTTCCCAATTCCTGACTGGGCCTGATGCAACCACTTTGTTAGAGAAATCATCCCAGACTCTGCACTGAGCCTGAGGCAGGGTCAGAATGTTAAGTGCCAAAAAAGCATTGCAACTGTGATAAAAATGCCAGAAGTGCTCAGTATTGGTGAGTGTGAATGTTTTGACATGGAACACTGTCCTTCTATGTTTTAAAGGTCGGGTTTATGATCAGTAAATAAAATTAAGAAAACTGACATATGTGCACAGATGTGCCAAAAGTTGGAATCAGAGGAAAAGAAATTAATACAGAAAATGCTTATTTATGTCTCAGTGACACAAATGCTTTCTCAAAAAATTGTTCCTCATTTTAGTAAATTCTGATGATCGCTACACTTTTCCTGTCCCCACAGGGTGATGATGTCTAATTCACATTAATATATCCAAGATGTCCAAACTTAAGCACTTTTAAAAAATGTGTTTCTGTGTTTTATCACACACTATCTTTTCTGTTGGATGACCTTTATCATGTAAATGTGAAAGCACTTAAGCGTGTGCTTTCATCAAGTCATACTCTTCCAATGTGATTAATTCCAGCTCTCCAGTTCTGAGATAGGAGGTGAGAAAGGAATCCACATATTTAAGCAGCTACAGAACAAAAGCTGCTGTCAGGTACACCCTTTAAATCCAGAGAAAGTCTTGTAGACCTTGGGATTTGCAGAACTTGAGGAGAGGAGAGTCGATAGCTGGGAATGGACCAACCTCTTATTTCAGTGTGGATTCAGCTCCTGAGCAGAAGGTCTATGTTGGTGGCTCCAGGCCTTTCTTGTTGGAGACCCGGATGGCTGCTTTTGCTTGAGAGCATCGTCAGGAGCCTGTGGAATTTGTCACTATAGGGTTGTGCCTCTCCATGGAAGGGGAGGAATTGAAAACAGTGTCTTTGGTGCCAGAGGCTTGCCTGACAGCTCTGCATTCTGCTTGTCTCTGCTCTTCATGGCCTCCTTCCATAAATACAGTTAACAGCAAAGCTCTGAAGTTAGGGGGAAGGAAGACTGTGATAACCCATGCTAGCAAAGGTGCAGGCAGTGGGCATGCACTGCCTGGCTGGAGGGGAATGGAAACTTCATTGAGTTGCTGTTTGATCCAAATAAGACACCTTATTTTTGTTCCAGCACTGGGCTGCCTGTAGCTCAGGCTAGACAGAGTTCAGGCAGTGGGACACTTTCCGTAGACAGGGTGTTCCCAAGGAAAATATCTGTAGTTTCTAGAAATGTGTAGTACTAACAAGCCACCTAGAAACCTCTGTGAAATGTAAGGGCTCAGTGCATCTGGGAGTCAGCGTGGTGGCACATCCCGTAAATCCCAGTGAGCTACATCTCATGCATTGACAATGCCTGGTTTTAATCTGAATCTATCAGATTTTCTCCGCTCTTTCATTGCCCCCCATCCTCCTTCAGCTTCCCTCATCACAAGCTCCCCATCCCCCAGCAATCACACACAACAAGCTTTTGCTCCTTGTATTTTCCCTGCTGCTAAGGGAACGAACAACAGAACTCCAGAGGGAAAAAGTTAGCCAGCGAGATGCTCATTAAACAAATAAATTAAAATATATAAGCTATATATGACACATATTTCTCAACATGACCAACACAACCCCTGTTGCTGTGTGTTTCCCAGGTGTGTGCCCAGCTGGGGCTCACTGATGTTGCACAAGAGCCACATTTTCCAGCTGCTATTTTTGTCTCAGGGGTAGCTCCAATTGCAGATGTATGCGTGAAAGCTGCCTGAATTGCTGTGGGGTACCAAATGGCAGCTGTAGGTATCCGTGCCATGGGGTAGAATTTTGGCCTCCTGGAAGGTGGGCTGGGTCCCTGAGCTCCCTATCCAGCAAGGGAGTTGTCACAAAAATGCAGGTATGTGACAAATGGAGCTGACACTCTTCCTGCCATGGCTAAGAAATCTCCTTGTCTTTTAAGGAACGGCTTAAGGAAGCAGAGGAGGTCTATAAGGCTGGCATAGAAAATTGTCCTGAGAGCTCTGATCTGCATAACAACTATGGTGTCTTCTTGGTTGATACCGGTAAGTGAGAAGGAGCAAGGGATTTCTCCTCGCTACCTTATTTGCTTTTACTTGGTTTATTCAGCAGTACACATCTAAAAGGGTGTCAAAAGCTTCCAAAACCTCCACTGTTGCTTGGAAATAAATATCCCTGTGTTGCTGAGATGGTGCAGTGCACTGATATTCCTAATGAATGCAGGCACTGCATGGCAGTGGTGTTCAGAGTGGCTGTTTCCTAGAGTGTTTCTCAGTGTATTCACATAGACAGTTTTCCTGTTCAATTTGAGCTGGGCTGAAAATACTGCCATTTCTTCAGGCAAGCCTGGCCATAGCAAACCAAATTCCAGGTACACAAATGGATCATTATAGTCTTTGGAGCACTTGCAGCTCTGCTTGGTGACAGAGTGGCTCTTTGACTGTAAAGGTTGTGTGTCACGGCTAGAAAACCAAACAGGGTTTTTAAACGAAGACCTAAGATACTGTGGGGCCTTTATTTTCTAGGCTTCTGGTTCCCATCCAACTTCCCTGGACTCAGGCAACGCCTGGCATCCACATAGCAAAAAAACAAACAGACAAAAATCTGCTGTAACTCCTACCTTTTCCTGACAGCCTTGTAAGCGAGGCTAAGTTTGACAAATGACTAGTGGAAACCAAACGACCGTCTCACTCCGGTCCCTCCAGAACAGAGCTGAGACTGCATGATGAAGTATTGCAGGTTGAAAGTATGTGTTTGCTACCCATCCTGCCCCTTTCACAGTGCACCCAGCTCTGGTGGTGCTTGGGACAAAAGGACAATAGTGTCCCTCAGTCTGCAGCTGGCTGGCTGGTCCTGCCTCAGAGCTGACACTCAGCTGTCGCTCTTCTGCAGTACATACCCATGTGAAATAAATACAAAGGCAAAATCAGTATTTGTAATCAAAAAAGGCATCATGGCGTTAGCAACAGAGGCTGAGGTTCTGAATTTTTGCCCTGGAAGAATTCAAGCTTGCAAATAATAAAACCCTCTCTGTTATTTCACTCTGACATTTTACTCATCTTTGCTTCCCAACCCAGATAAACTGCCCTGTTCCTGCCAAAAGCTGCAGTTCTAATGCAGTGCACTTTCTATGTTTTTGCACTTGTGTATTCTGCCAAAGTCAAACCTAACTTTTCCTGGTTTACTCCTAGAAAAAACCCTACTGACTTTTGATCCTTCAGGCATGATGTGTAAATAACCCTCCTGGAGACATGACAAGGCGTGAAGGAAGTGGCTGGCAGGGAGCCGGCTGCAGGCTGTGCTCTTCCCTGGCGGGCACAGTGAGATGCTGTCAAGTACCACTCCTGTCAACTTGCAGGATTTCCAAGCAAGTGCCAGCTCTGGGGACCCATGGCTCTAGACAGTTCCACAGTGGTCACAGACACTCGATGTGTCTCCCTCCATGATGGGCGTTACCCCTGTGTGTTGGGCAGGGAAGCCACTGGCTGACTTAGGGCCTGAGGTGCAGGCCAAGCTGCTTCCCAGGATGCTTTGTAGATACAGTTTTCAAAAGCATCCACTTGATGGTGGGAGAAAATCAAGTCTGCTACTATTTATTTTTTTTTAAATACCCTAAAAGATGTGTTAGTGGCCTTGGATGAGTCTTAAGTGCTTCTATATCTCCCTACAGAGATGTATCATAAAATGGTTTGAGTTGGAAGGGATCTGGAAGATCATCTAGTTCCAATGCCCCTGCCTGGGCAGGAACACCTTCCACTAGACCAGGCTGCCCAAAGCCCTTTCCAACCTGGCCTTGAACACCTCCAGGGAGGGGGCATCCACAACCTTCCTGGGCAACCTGTTCCAATGCCTCATCACCCTCACACTGAAGAATTTCCTCCTAATGTCTAATCTAAATCTCCCCTCTTCCAGTTTCAAACCATTACCCTGTATCCTATCACTACATACCCTGGTAAAAAGTCCCTCCCCAGCTTTCCTGTAGGCCCCTTCAGATGTCCCTCTTCTCTTCTGCAACAGGAACTCCAAGAAGTGTCAACATTACATTTATGTTGCATAGGTTAGTCTCAGGAAAATCAAACTAGATCTGGAAAGCTAGGAAAATAAAATTCCCATGGCAGCCTATGTTCAATGCCCCAACATGCTCAGGCTGTTTTCAAGTTCTGCTTTCCAGCTAGAAATGGAATTAAATGCATTGTGAAGTGATTTGGCTTAAAAAATGCCAATACTCAAAACCTTTTTTGATGGACAAAGCTCTGTGAGCATCGGTTTTCATCAGGAGATTATCTAGTCTAGAGTGTGCAAATGAATTAAATGAGCACTGGGTTTAAAATACGATACTCACATTGCTGAAATGCTGGAAATTTATGCTGTGCCCTGTTAATTTATGTAGTAGTTTGTCAACAAGCACTGCAAGATCCTTCTTCAGGAAAGCCATTATTTAGCTAAATAAAAATATACAAACAGAAATGGAACTTCAGGCTTTGGGGCTAGTGGTCTGGCACCTGCCTTTTTGTCCAGTGTTGTATTTCGTTGTGGTGCTCAGTGATGTCATGGACTGCAGGACCTTGCTGGGGTGGACATTTTCACACAGCGAAGCAGTGCCACCCAATGGCTCCTCTGCAACACAGAGACGGTGCCTACGTGCTCCAGAATAGGCATCTGGGCACCTCTGCTCTGGGATTTATTGCCCGAGGTGGGAATTGGCTGGTCTCCAGCAGCTACTCCCTGCCTGCTTGAGCAATGCACAGGGACTGAGCCGGGCCAGTGCAACAGAAGTGGAGTCTCTGTTTGGAAAGAGCTGAAACTGTTCTGCAGCTCTGGTGGGGTTGTGGGGAATACCAAGTGGCTTGTTCTCCGTGTCTCTGTTGCCCTTGTCTCCAGTGGGCCAAGGTGGAAGGATGCTTTAGCAGGAGATGGGACACGTCTCAGCCACTTCTCGGGTGAGCTCTGTCCTTAGCACAGGGGGTGCATCCCCCCTGCAGGGTGAGCAGAGGGTGCGTTCAGTCAGAAGGCTGCTTCTGGTGACTGTACCCTTGACTTGCAAAAACCCACCCCTAGAAAATCTGTTTCTCAGGATTGTCTCTGAATATTGAAGCCTGTATCTTAGTTTGGACAATGTTGTTCCCTACATTTAATCTTGAAAGGCTGAGGCAGGATTTCTTTCCCAAAATAGTTTCCATGCATAGAGCAATAGATGAAATAACACCCAGAGCATTACTGCATACTGAATTTGGGATGGGATTTTTCAGATGCATCAGTTTAATAGCTATTCTCCTCTTCAGGGGCTCCTGAGCAAGCTGTGTCCCACTACAGACAGGCCATCCTGCTGAGCCCCACTCACCATGTGGCCATGGTGAACCTGGGCAGGCTTCACCGCTCCCTGAGGCAGAACAGAGAGGCTGAAGTGTGGTATAAGCGGTAAGAATTTGGGATGGGAGACAGACATTTCCCTCCTCCCCCTGTATGGCTTGTCTCTGCTAAAAAGCCCCTGATACATTAATCTCTCAGTGCATATTTGGATTTTCCTCCCTTTCTTCTCCATCTGTTTTGAAACCAGATTTACCTTTGCTTATTTGGCTATTTTGGGGGAGTGATTGGAGGGGCAGCATGGAGTCAGGCAGTGTTGACTTCCCTGGACCTTTCCCATGGATGTCCCAGGATGGACACACTGCTGCTTTTGGCTAGGGGATGCTCTAACGATGAAGCCAGAGGCTTCTTGGTGCCATGAGCAGGTTGCTAGCACAGCTCCCAGCCTGCTTGAAGATGGTCTGTGGGTGCTGCACCAGTAACAACCCTAATGCTGCTCAGCCCAGCACCAAAGCCTTGGTACCATCAGAAACCTTGGCCCTTCCCAACAATGTGCCAGTGGGCAGGCTCAAGCTCCCAGTGTGCAGCGGAGTGGACTGGAGGCTTTTTTTGTCTTCTTTTTGGCACCCAGATTTGTGCTTACGGTCCACAGGTTTCACCACCATCAGCCGTCCCTACCCCTGCTGCATGTTCACATGTGCTTTGGAGATGGCACTCTCCCCTTCTTAGGTGGCCAGTGGGATTGCTGCTGTGGGCACACTCACCCCTTCCTGGGACCTTAAATTTGTGCTCCTCAGGGTGGGATGGGCAGGGTGCAGAGCTTCACTGCTCCATCCCTGCACAAGCTGCACTTCGCTCTTCCACTTTGATCCCCACACCACCTGGAAACATCTCTTCTTCCTAAATTCCAGGGCACTGAAGGTATCCCGGAAGGCTGAAATCCTGTCCCCTCTAGGGGCTCTGTATTACAACACGGGGCGGTATGAAGAAGCATTGCAGGTGTACAGAGAAGCAGCATCACTGCAGCCTTCTAACAGAGAGATCCGACTGGCACTGGTGAGTGTGGGGTGAGCTTGGCCAGGGCAGGGCCACACAAGGGGCATGGGGTGTCTGGGTTACTGTGAGTGTTGCCCAAGGCTCAGAGCTTAGTTCTACCTTCATGCAGGGTTCTACCTCCATGCCAGCCATCCAGCAACTGTCTCTACTGTCCTTGTTTCCTCCTCACCTCTCCTGACTTCAGACCCTTGTCTCAGGCACTGTGTTCCCAGCTGAGTGGGACTTGGCATAGAGAAAATCTGGGCTGCCCCTCACTTGTTAGGAAGGGTCAGTCCTTTTGCCTTTCCATGAGGTGCCTCTTAACACCACCAGCAGGAGAAGGAACCCAGCAGTAGCCACTGGGTGCAGCATCATGTATTAAAGAGGGCTAAGCTTTTTAAGATGATAACCCTTTATAATGTGGCTCTGTAGGCACAAGTTTTAGCAATGATGGGACGGACGAAAGAAGCTGAAAAGATGACAAACCACATACTCCACGAGGATGCAGAATGCCTGGAGTGCTACCGCCTTCTGTCAGCCATCTACAGCAAACAGGAGCACTACAGCAAGGTACTGTGGCTGCAGGATACCCTTGTCCCCAGGGTTCACATGCAGAGCTCAGGTTGAATTTTACACTCCACCTCTCCAGAGACATTACAAACCTAGTGCACATCCATTAGATGTATTTTTTTCACAAAAACCTTCTGTTTTTCTAAGTACTGGGACTGAAGCAAAGCAATGTGCCTCTCTTATCACTGACTGCATCTGCTGCTGTCAGCCCAGCTGCCCATCAGCCACAAGCATCTGAAAAACTCATTTCCACATTTGTTAGTGGTGTGGGGGAAACAAGGGAAGGAGGAAGATGACTTATGCTGGGAGGCCTTAGTGGTGAGGAGAGCATGAGAAGTGGAAGGGTGCAAAATACATGGTGTCCTCTTGCTTTTCCACAGGCACTTGAAGCTATAGAAAAAGCTCTTCAGCTAAAACCAAAGGATCCAAAAGTTATATCAGAGCTCTTTTTCACTAAAGGAAACCAGCTAAGAGAGCAAAATCTCCTCGACAAGGCTTTTGAGGTATGACTGCTCTAAGCCATATGAATTGCTTTATAGGCTAAAAGATAAGAGCTAACCCATTGCGTTTAATACTCCCTGGTGCATGCACACTGGCTCTTGCCCTTGGGAGCTCAGCAGTTCACCTTCTTCTCCCATGCACAGTAGCCAAAGCAGTTGAAGGGGTAGAACTGCCCTCAGGTCCTTATGAAGCCTCCATGCAACTGGCTGTAGTGTAGTCTGCTGCCAGCTCCAAATTAAAGCTGTGCAGATAAGGAGCATCACAGCCCACCCTTGGCTTGTGGTTGGCAAGCACCTGCCCTAGGAAATGTCCCTGATGTGCAGGAGACCTCGGTGGTGCAGGGTGGCAGGGAGAGGTTCCCAAGGATTTGTGTGGCTCCTCATATGGTACAGTGGGAAGGGAAGACCTGTAAGACGAACTCACTGGTGAAGCAGTAAATTATTGTTGCCTCTGCTATAAAGAAATTGAAATTCAGCTTGCATATTGTATATGAAAAGAATGTGAAATTATATTTTAAATGGATTCAGAAGGAGAGAAAACTTCATTTCTCTTTCACCTCCAGCACTGGTTTTGTTTGAAGGGTCAGAGTCTTAACCTAAAAATGTTCCATATTTATGTAGAGCTATAAACGGGCTGTGGAGCTCAACCCAGACCAAGCACAGGCCTGGATGAATATGGGAGGCATTGAGCACATCAAGGTATGACAATTTTGCTTTTCCTTAAGCTGTCAAGTGCAGAGACTACTACTCAGGACAGAAATCCTTATTTGGTTCAGACTGCAAAGAACTGCATGTTTGTAAAGTGAATATCCCCAATGTATTTTATCCAAATAAGGAAGAAAGTCTGTCCACCCCAACTAGGATTTCCCAACCTGTAATGTATATCCTGTAACGTGAAACTCATCCTTTAAGAGGGCAGGCTGCAGGGAACAAACTGCCCGTCTCTAAAGTTTTCCTGATTCAGTTTTTGACCTACCTTAGAAAAATGTCACCGTCAGTTGACTTTTAAGATTCCTCTCTACCTAATTAATTTAATAAAGATGTCTAATGCAGAACACTGGCATGAAATTATGGAAATAAGCAGCCCACCCTGTGGTTGCTTATCTTTCTGAATACTTTAGCATATCATTATGATTTGGGTGTGAAGGAGTCACATTGTGTGATATGCTCAAACTATAATGTCACAGAGTAAAATTAACTCTTCTAGTTCAACATAACAGAAAAATGTAAATCTACTTCTTACCATGTGTGTTTGATCAAATTTAGGCACTTGGTGATCCATTGCATAGTGAAGTAGTATTCCCCTAACCTAACATTATCAAGTTTTATCAACTCTTTCCTTTGTATTATGGTCTTCAGTGCTCCCAAGGAATGAACTTTCTATGCCAGGGAACGCAAATGAGATCTGTTGCTCATTTTCTTTGTAGGGGAGCTACATCACTGCCCGTGGCTACTATGAAAAAGCCTTACAGCTGGTTCCAAACAGCAAGTTGCTGAAAGAGAATCTGGCGAAACTGGATCGCTTGGAGAAACGGTTTCAGGAAGTCCAGGAGAAAGACCAAACATAACATTCAGTCACCAGTGGAAAGAAACTCATACCCCTTGGAGAAGAGTATGGTAGAAGCCTATTGCTTAAAGTGATGCTGAAGGAACATTGCTAGGACTCAGAATTATAGAAGGCAGATTTTGAATGCATGCTTATGTTTGACCAAAGTTACAGGAGACACTCGCCTCCTGTGGGACATGCTGGAGCATGAATGAGAACCTTCCTTTAATCAAGATTCATGTTTAAGCTGAACCCATTTGAATCATACTGGGCGTGCGGGTGGGACGGCTACCTTCAATATCTTTGTTATCATTGAGGAAACCATGGAGACAAAGCACTCATCCATTGCAGCAGGGGTGAAGTGGCACCTCCTGTTACTCAACATAGGCTCACCTCATCCACATAAAGTACCACTGATGGGCTTCATTGCAAGTGCTGCCAGGTCCTTCTGAGCCAGGAACGATGGTCATATTGGTCACATTAAAAGGTTTCAAGGGGTTAAAGCTGAGGAAATGGTGGCCACTTCTACAGCTCTATATGTGACTTGAAAATTGTTCTAAAGAAAGGGAAAACGGTATCTGAATATCACCCTGGAAGGATGATTCTACAAGTAGGACACATGATCCTTTGAGGGAAAACCTCACCTGAATATGTTACTTGTAAGATAATATTTTTGTAGTAATTCAGGCTCATTATGTCAGTATTGTAAAATATCATATGGCTTTACCCTGTGCCCTCTCCCTGAAGGCCAAATAATTACCCTGAAAAAAATGGAAGCATCCAAAGGCAATGGGAAGCTCTAGGATTACTTGTCCTCTTGTCCAGTCCCCAGTAAGAAAAACACAACCAAAACAAATCTGATCAATATAGGAGATAAAGTAAAGCCACAGAAAGATTAGGGAAGATTTTGTAGCCTGGAAAGGTACTAAGGAGGCATTTTTATGGGTGTGCAGGGACAAAGCCCATTTATCATGGTGATAACACTGACGAAACACCATGTCAGTGTCTCCCCCTAAAGATGCAGAAAATGACCTATAGCAGATCAGTCATAAATCTATATTTTTAAATACTGGAGTGGGAAAAGAAATTCTTTTCAGAATTGGAACTTTTATTTTGAGCTTTATTTATTTAACTTATAGTAGTCAAATGATTAATATATTTTCTCTCTTTTGTATGAATTGGGCAGTATCCTTCACAGCTGACCACATGGCTGGGCATTGTGACTTGTATTGTCTATTGTCTGAAGTTAGAAGAATGCAGGACCACCAAGGCATGCTTGAATAACTCCCCCTAATCACATTTCTAAAGCAAATGGCTGCAGAGCATGTTGGACCTTGCTGTCACAGCACTTCTGCAGCTTCCGCCAGAGTATGTTCCAGTTCGCAGAGAGCGTTAGTGGGATTGTGCTTGATGCCACTGCCTTTGGGTTTGGACATCAGAGTAGGTCGGTCAACAGTTTGTTCCTCTTGCAACAGGAAACTGCCATTGAAGTTGTTATATGTGAGCTTGATTGTGGCCAGTCCCTGCAGAAGAGCAGCCCAGGGTTTGACATCATTAGTGAAGGACAGTTCTGATTAGGTCTGTGATGCCTTGCTACTCATCTGCCAGGAAAAGCCTGGGAGGCAGTGGCCCACATGGCACCCAGATTTAGTTGGTGCTGGCCATGACACCTCAGCAAACTCCAAATTCACTCAGTGTAACGGGGCAGCCATGCACCTATGGCTCAGCTGGCTTTGTTTAAAAAGCTGTGTCCAGCCACTACTGGTGGTCAAATTACTGACAAATTATTAACATGACTCCAACTTCATTTGGAGCTTAGACGGAGTGCACACTGGTGTCAGCCCTGCTGAGGCTTGTGAACCTGCTAGAGCCTTAGATGTGCTCCCACTGAAAGGCTGGACTTGGGAAGTACTGGTTGGTCCCCACTGGCCAAGTAGACTGGTCAGTTCCTACAGCTGGGCAGAGGTGGGAGGGAGAGACCCTCTGGGGGAGAAGGTGATGACACATGCTTCTTGGCTGTCTCCCAGCCAGTTTCTGAAGGGAGCAGCCGGGACACAAGCAAGTCGTCTGCTAGTGAATCTTCTTTTCCCCAAGCTCCAAGCAGCCTACTTTGCTGTCTGGGGTTGGGGCCAGGTTGGGTTGGAGGACCTGGGACTGGGTCCGCAACCCTTGTCTTTTCACACAATTTTTGTGTCCATGGGCTTGCTGACCTGACGTTTCTGTGGGTCCCCAGTGCAGGTGCTCCACTGGATGCCATGCATGGAGTAACTCTGCACAGCCCTGGCCCTGCCAGGATGGCCAGGAGGAGATGGGGTCATGCCAGCAGAGTCCCGTTGGATGTGGAAACCAAAGCTGAAACAGCCTCTGCTAGCAGTCAGTTCCCCACCACACACTGAAGGCCGTGGATGGTTCATGACTGGGGTGTTCAGAGGTACCTGGGCCATAAAGCTCTCTGCTTCTCCCCAGGGTGAGCTTGCTTTTGAGGCAGCTTCACCAAATCCAATGTGCCCAGGGCTGTGACTGTGGCAGTGCTTGACAGTGACTCTGGGGCTGGCAGAGCTGTGTTTGGTGCAGTCCCCAGGAGCAGGGCCATGCAAACCCCCCCACAGGGGAGGCATCTGCAGAGTTCTCCCACAGCTCGCCGAAGCGTGGAGGATAGAGGTCGGGGGAGATACGTCTCATTTTAAAATGTGTATCAGCTATAAACTTTGCCTCATAAAGATATATTAAATAAATACTATATATTGTGTAAGCCCCACATCAGTGCAGCTTTAATTTGTGGCCGGCGAAACATATTTTTTCAAATATAGAAGTTGTATTTTTTTACAGAAATTCTTTGTGAAGGGGAGGACTTGGTTTTGTGTTTTTAACTTTGGCTTAAATCTTAGTTTGTCTTTCCTGAGAGACCTGGTAGAAATGATTGTCTTCTTCTTGTCCTAGAACCTGATCAAAGCCATCTTCACTGTGCCATGTGTAAAAGTATAATACAGCTTTGGGTGCCCTGCTACCAGGTCCTGGAGAAGGATTAATGTTTTTGCAACATTGTCTTACTTGCAGAATAAGGTGGAAAGGTGAGGCCATCCTCCCAGTGAGGGAGGTGGTTCGGTTGGAAGGCATGGGGTATGTTCATTTACTCACCTGAATGAGGCAGGTAGCATATCCACTGAGTTTAACCCCAGTTGAACTAAATTACATTTATGTGTTGAAAGGCCAACTCTCCACATTTTGGAGCCGGGTTTATGGTAGTTATGGAGAGAGGAGGGCTTGGTAATGAACCTTGCTTTCCTCAGCCAGCACTTCATGTTGTGCAGGATGACAATCTGCAAACTGGCAGCGTATCTGGAGAACAATCCACACCATGAGCTACCAAAGCAGTTGAACCCTTGTGAAGTTTTGAGCTGACTCTCTGTCTCGTTGGCGTTCATGCTGAAACGCTGTGTTTGTTCAGGACATTAATCTTGTGAAAGGTTTATTGCAGGCAAAGAAGAAGAATGGAGTGTGATACGAAGTGGGTTACCACCACCAAAATGGAATGCTATTGGGGAGGATAAATCTAGAGACTTACCTTGTGATAAACTGGTTATTATCCTAATTAATCACAGGAAATGTCCTCTTCCTCTAGCATTGCACAGCTTCTAAAATAATGAGTTATAAATACATTGTTTTCTGCCAACTCCAGTGCTCAGCATGGTTCGCAGAGATTACAAATTAATAAATGGATGAAGCTGTACCTGGTGGGGGAGAGTTTGCTCTCTCAGCAAGTTGCATTGGCTAAACCTCAGTGCTCACCAATATGAATGTAGAGAATTAACGGAAAGCTGGTTAGACAGGACTCTTATGTACTCAGTGTGCATTTTAATCCTAAATGAAAAACATAATAGTTATGTTGCTTTTTCCTTTCCCCATGAATAATATTTTCAGTGGATGGATTTTGTTTTATTTTATTCCTTATTTAAAGTCCAGCATTCTTCCATTCCTTTTCCGTCTCCTGGGATAAAATAGGCAGTGAGGGGCATTTTCTCTCTCCCGCACATTGCTTGGACTAGATTTTCCTGCATATGTGCAGGCAACTTGTTTTGGCCAAACAGTAAGTGAATGCAGCAGTGCAAATGAATGGCCTTCATTCCAGAGATCTTGATGAGGACAGGGGTGTATGCAGGCATGCACATGGGTGGAAGAAGTCTATGTCAAAACAATCCAAAATAAAGAGCCTGACTTGCAGGGGAGACTGGACACCCCTCAAATTACCTAAAAACTATGAAAGCTTCTCAACAGCTATAGAAACCAGTGCAGATACCAAGTACAATATTGGTGAAAGAAGATAGTTGTCATTCTAATTTTAATAATTAGGCAATGTAGAACATACTTGTATGATCTTTTGCCCCCCTTGTCCTCCAACTCAGTGAAACAGTTGGAGCGCTTCCGTCTTCTCAATCTGTATGTGATTAATTTGCCCAAGTGCTCCATTTCTATCTTTCACATACGCAATTATGCATGATCTTTGGAAAGAAAATAGCCCTTGGAGGATTTTCCTTCCCAACCTTCAGTCTCTTGCAGCAATTTCAAAATGCACCATTTTGCTTTCATGTACATTTAAACCCAGCGGAAAAAACAAACAAACAAACAAAACACAACAAAAAACCAAAACAAACAAAAGACAATTTTTTAAAAAACGCTTGGCATTCACTTGTGTTTCGATGTGGCAAAGCTGCTTCAGGTAATGTTGGTAACTTTGTGCGAAAGCTCATTGCCATGTTTGTACTGACTTGCTGAAAGTTTTTCCTTCTGGAAAATACCCCCAGTGGTATCCTCTGTAAAAGTGATGGCTTCTACAACTGTATTACTGTAGAAATCTCTGCCTGAAGTGGATGTCACGCTGCGTGTTCCTCCCATGCGGGAGTTGTTTGCATTGCCTGTTGTTCATACGGTTCTTATTTCTGTATCTATTACTTTTTTTTTTTAAATCAGTTGTGCATATCTAAACCAAACCAAAACAAAAACAAGAAAACAGCCCGTGGATTAGAAATCTTTAAAAAACAAATTCACACTTAGCAGCAGCTGGATGTATGTCAGTGGTACAGGAATTTGCAAAGTCTTTGCTTTTTTCACTGTGGGATTTATGGCTCGATTTCACATAAAGGAGTTATGCTCCAAGTCTTTGCAAAAGAAAATGTATGTAAATGTCTATTTTATATAAAAAGTAAGAAAAGTAAGTGCCATGTCTGGTTTTGTTCTCTTGGCTATCGGGTTTGTCTGTTCCTTAGGACCAACCATGAACAACAACTTCTGGAAGAAGGGCCAAAGTTTCTTACTTCTTACATTTTACTGCTGTAGGACTCCTAGCTATTGGTTGCCTAGGAGCAACTATGCAGCACATGTAATTGAGCTTGGGCTTGTAAAAATTTTGGAGGAAGCATTTTTTGGAGCCTAAGCATGAGAAAGGATGAGTGTTGGTGCTTATATGGTCTTGGTGACCGGACACATTATACTGACATAAGCTCTTCATGTCAGGCTTTATGTGTCTGTCAAGAATGTATCAAGACTACAAAGTGCAAAGAGAAAAAAATGGAACAGAAAAATAAACTACTTTTGTTCTAATTCCCTTCTTCCCAGTAGACCTTCCTACATGCTCCTGTGTGCTCCCAGGACTTGGGTTCACTCAGGGGATTCTGATGGTGATAAAAACCTCCATTTGAAAATGGGCCTGAAACAGAATCAAGACCCCATAGTGTTTCCTGCCATCTTGGTGTGTCCAAGACTCTCTGCAGCATGAAAGGGAATTGCATGCTCATTTTGAAGCCAGCCCATACACCTTGGAAGTTCTCTCAGATC